CAATTTGGTTCCCAATCGTATAAATGGCAATTTTGATTTTTGAAATTCAATCACGTATAATTTTTAATTCACAATTCCGAATTACGATTCGTGTTTTGTGTTAAACTCCAAATTTAATTATATTGCTAATGGTCTATTATTTTTCTATATAGATTTTTGTACAAAATTTTATGCTTTAATTTCCCCACGTTTTCCACACTGGGGTTCCTCGTTTTGCAATTTTTGGTTCTTTTATGTTCAAATTTTCGTTCTTTCTTTTTCTTTTTGTTAATGCATTAGCTGTCTATTCTCAAATTGGACAATAAGCATCGAACAAGGTATGCATGCCAAAAAATTTAGTGCAAATAATTTGTTGATCGAATAATGAACAATAGACAATATACTAAAAACTCTTATTCAATTCAAAACAAACCGAAATCAACGAATTTTGTCCCCAACCTTTGATCATTAGCAACGTTCGTCAATATAGGGAGCGTCGCAATAGAAAAAATCTCATGTCTTTGAAGACACTATTGTGGGGTTTAAGAAAGAGGCAACTGAAATCGCAGAACAACTTGTTAGAGGAAAAGACCACCTGCAAATTATTTCCATCTTTGGGATGCCTGGACTTGGTAAGACCACTTTAGCAAATAAATTGTACAATGATCCCTCTGTTGTCCATCATTTTGACAAGCGTTCCTGGTGTGTTGTTTCTCAAACATATAATAAGAAAAATGTGTTGATTGAAATTTTGAGCTCAATGAGTCGCAGTAAGAGAGAAACATTTATGAATATGGAGGAAGAAAGTTTGGCTGAAAATCTTTACAAAAATTTAAAAGGAAGGCGTTACCTTATTGTGATAGATGATATATGGGATTTCAATGTATGGAATGATTTGAAAAGGTATTTTCCAGTTGATGGAGTTGGAAGCAGAATCTTATTCACCACTCGGAATAAAGAAGTTGGTTGGAAAGCTTCACCTCTTAGTGTCATAAATGCACTTCCTTTTTTGTCAGAAGTTGAATGTTGGGGATTACTACAATGGAAAGTGTTCCAAGATAAAAGCTGTCATCAAGAATTGATACCCATTGGGAAGCAAATTGCAACAAATTGTAACGGCCTGCAACTTGGAGTGGTAAGGATAGCTAGAGTTCTTGCAAATATGGAGAAGAAAGAACACTTGTGCAAAAAGTTGCAAGAGAATTTAGTTTTATATATACAAAAACCCATACAACTTCATCAGATATTGGAATTTAGCTTTAAGCATTTACCAATGCATTTGAAACCATGTTTTCATTACTTTGGAGCATTCGAGGAAGACAAGGAAATCTCAGTACGTAAGTTGATATCGTTATGGGTTGCTGAAGAATATATAAGGAAGAGCAAAAGTGCTTAGAGGATGTTGCACTAAATTATCTTATGGAACTAATTGATAGGAGCTTGGTACTTGTTGTTAAACAAAGATTTGATGGAGGGGTAAAAATGTGTAAGATTCATGATCTATTGCATGAAATGTGCTTCAGGATAGCTGAAGCAAAGAAACATTTGAAGATGGTAAGTTCACTGTTTCTTTTCTTCTTTTCTTTCCTTTTCCTTTTCCTTCATTTTTGTTTTAGCCTACTAATAATGGTGATTATATCTGATGATCGTACTAATGGTGACACTCTCAAATCTTTATCACAAGATTAGAAACAAAGTTTAGAGTATTTGCACTTTGGTCCCTGATCTTTCACTTTCTTCCATTTTGATCCTTATTCACTTTTTTCTTCCATTTTCAACCGTTTTCACTCATTTACAACATAAATCAAGATATAGAAGTACTTAGTGCATTTAGAAATCAAATAATCATAGAAACGCAAATATTAATGGGTGAAAAACGTAATAAATGTGTTATTATCAACATGTGATATGAACTCTTAATTTGCATATTGTTTGGTACAAACAACTTCGGTACATTTTTTCTCCAAATATGAAATAACTAAATTCATTACTTCTTATTAATCACATTCATACACTCACGCTATTAAGATTATAAATACATCACTTGAATTGCACATGGCCTCACTAGTATAATTAAAAACTATTTCAAGGTACGAAACTCTCATTCAATTCAAAACAAGTTGATGTCGCTCTCGATGAATTTAGTCCCCAACCTTTGATCGTTAGCAGCGATCGTCCTTCTTCACCATTCATCCATTTTAATTGTTAAGATGGTACGAAAATAAGAAATTACCTTACACTCTAATTAAATTAAAAAATAAAAGAACNNNNTAATTAAATTAAAAAATAAAAGAACTAAAAAAATAAAAATAAAATCTTAAACGTGTAGCACAAACAGAAAGGAATAGTTACGCAGAACTGTAAAAGTTTGAGGAATGAGATGGTACAAAGGCCCTTTCCATTGCCACTTTCGTTACTGATGCAAGGGAAGTTTATAGGAAAGACAAAAATATCATAAAAAAGAATTTCAATCAAGAGAAATTCAAGAAAAACTTTATTTCATTCAAAACCGAGCTGCCTCAAAAGACTTACAACG